TTTGAATGAGAACGCCAACATAGGCTCATGTATTTGAATGCTTGGTCTAAAATTAGTGGAAATGTTTGAGAGGAAGTAAGAGGTGTGGCCTTGTTGGAGGAGGTGTGGCCTTGTAGGAGGAGGTGTATCATTGGGGGCAGGCTTTAAAGTTCTAAAAAGCCCACATAATTCCATTAGTTTGTAGATCAAGTTATAAGTACTAAGTTATTGCTCCAGTGCCACAACTGCCTGCCTGCTGGCATACTCCCTGCCATGATGGTCATGTACTCACCACCTAAAACTGTAAGCCCCAAATAAACTCTTTGTTATACAAGTTGCTTTGGGCATGGTGCATTATCACAGCAATAGAACAGAGACAGGAGACTAACCTCTGTGAGGCTGTTTCCAAAGATGTTTAGCTGAAATAGGAAGGTCTATCTAGAATGCAAAAGTCACCATTCCATGGTCTAGGTCCAGACTGAAGGAAAGGGGGGAAAAAGTAAGTAGATTCCCAGAATCCCACTTCTTCCTCTCTCTGCTTCCTGACTATAGATGCAGTATGAGCAGCCAGCTCAGTCTGGCCACCACATCCTTCCCACCATTATGAACTGTACGCTAATGTTGTGAACCCAAACAAACCCTAACTTAATATTCTTTTGTCATACATTTTGTTATATTAATGGTAAAATTAACTAATTTTTTACTTAAACCCCTGAACCTAGAATTCCACATCAATGAAACAGAAAGAATATAAATAACAATTTTACAATGATATTATTGTTATTAAAATTATCAGTGGGGAGAAAGTACTTAGAATGGTATTTGGTGCACTATAAGAGCTATATGCAACAGCAGACCCTTGAGGTAAGCATACATTTCAATTCCCTAAGAGAATGGATCATTACTCTTCTGGACATCTGCTTGTTATGGTACAATGTTTTTATTTTATCAGGCCATTCATTTCTCACACGATGGCTCCTACATATTATGATTGTAACTGTTGGAGAAAAATCACATCAGAACTATTTTACTGTACATACAATGATGTATAAAGGAATGTAATTTCTTGAAGAAAACAAAGGTATCAAGCAAGGGTCCTAGTTAAGGAGCAGGGTTTTCCGGCCATAAGGACCAAGAGTGAGGATGTGAGAGCAGAAGCAGGGAGCCCAGCCGTGTGCTCTCTTCCAGCATTTGCATATGCTAGACTCAACCTCAGATGACTCAGAAGAACACACTGAGTCCCTGGTGACATCAGTCCAGTGCATAGATATACAATATGAGTCACCAGGATGGGTAGATAAGCAGTTTGCAAGAGTTTTAAAATGAGGAGGAGGAGGAAACACCAGGGAGAAGATCCTAATAGGGAAAGAAGATCCAGACATTGTCCATGCTGCCCCACCAGGGCTGTGGGAACACTATTGCCCTGGCATTCTGCAGGACTATAATCTGTGATGCAGATGGTAACCTACACACACACACACACACACACACACAAGATTAGACTTGTTAACATGGTTACGATGTCATTTTCTATATTGTCTACCTTACCCACATAAAGGAACTTTTCCTTTTTTTTTCTTTTTCTTAACTTGTTAAAGATTTAGTGGAATTTGGCTTGTCCTGCAGTTCTTGTGGGTTTGTGATGCAAACTTAAAGGAATATAATATAGCTCAATAGTAGAGTGCTTACTTAGTATGTATGAGGCTCTAAGTTCAGTTTCCAGTACCACAAAACAACAACACCAAAACTTTAAATTCTTGGGTTAATGGAATGACAAATCAGGTAATAGTACTCACTCTCTACTAAGCTTGAAGCCCTGACTTCATGTCCCAGAACTGGTATGAAAGAGAGAACTGACTCCCAGTGAGTAACCTCTAACCTCCACAGTTGCTTGGTGGCCCACGTGCACACCCACACCCACACCCTAAAGTAAATTTTTAAATGTTAAAGAATGTGAATGGAGAAACATAACCAGAGATCCAAAAGGAAAAGCAAAAGAACAGTGCAGAGGTTTGGAGTTAATGAGTGTTGGAATTTAAGGACAGTTGGCTTCCAGACCACCCACAAGGAAAATGAGAATGAAGGTGAGTTTAATGGGGGTTTTGCAAAGTGATTCTAGGCTATAAAATGAATCTTGTTCATTGGTCTTCAAGATAGCAAAACACCATTTGAAACTCTATTAAAATCTCTTTTAATTACTTCAATGAAATTTAAAATATAATTCTCCAAGAGCAGTGATGGGTCCAGGGCCACTCTCTAGAGTTTCCTGTGTGTGGTGTTTAGTAGTTCAGCCCTATTTGCTTACTGCCAGAGAAGGAGGCATATGTTTCTCTGCTCTACTAGAGTTGTTAGTGAATGTAAATGGCAAAAGGGTTAACAAGTTTTATTTAAGCTTTGAGAAGAAAATTTAAGGAGAATATACCCAAATGCTCAGCTGTTTCTAGACAGACATAGGAGGCATTTCACCACAACTCTTACCTTGTGTTGCAAAAATGCTGGTTAGTAGATGCCCTTTATAAATTTGATGAGAGCTGACATGATGGTCCCATCATTGGAAAAATTATGAACTCTAATGATTCTAAGTGTGCATCCCTTGAGACAGCTGCAAGGGGGGAATCTGATTATCTTCTCTGTCCAGAATATCTGTGTAGAGACCTGGCAGGGAGTTCAGCTGAAAAGAGGCCAGCCCCAGGGCCGTCTGGATCAGTGTTTAATGCCTAGTGTTGTGAACAAGCTTCATGGTTGTGAGTTAAGTCTTGGTGGATTATAAACTTCAGGCTGGGATGGGTGTTGCTGTGCTTGAATTAGGAGTTTGGATAAAGAGCTGGATTGATGAAAATGAAACAACATAGGGGGCTGCCAGCCACATCAGTCCAGCATCCATCAAGCCATGCTGCATATCAGCACCTCCAGAAAATGTTTTCAGGAACACACATGCTTATACCATGTCTTTGTAGTCTTTCTATGTTGGCTGCTTTTCTTGTCACTCTGAAGAGGTGTCTGAGAGCAGCAAATTTGAAGGAGGAAGGATTCATTTTGCCTCATGGATTCAGAAGGTTCAGGATTCTGTCAGGGAAGGCATTGTGGTTAAAGCATCTGGCCTGTGGTGGTAGGAGCTAGAGGCACAGGTGATTACATCTGACTCGTTCAGGAATCAGAAGTCTCAAACCTGCACCAGAGCAAGGATACAACTATAGCCTAAACTCCACAATGCCTGTACTCCCCAGAAAGGCTCTGCTCCTAAAGGTTCTACCGCCTACCAAACTGATCTCACCAGCTGAAGACCAAGTGTTCAAAAACATGGGACCATGGAGGACCTCCCAGATTAAAAATATAACCCTCTGATCCATCGGCCTGCAGTGAGGACTGAGCTTGACATTTTCATTTGATTCCCATGATTCTTAAGAACTTTGTACACTATTCAGATTCTAACACCCAACACTTAACACCATCGCAACTGTCCAGCTGTTCATTCTCTCTGTGTGTGTCTCTGTCTCTTTCATCTATACAGAAAATTCTACCCAATACAGAACAAAAATGTCTCCTACCCTTCTTGCTGCCCTTGAAGATAATGATTGGCAGCAATTTTTGATATACATTTGTTTTCAGTTTACATCACATACTGCAAGATGATCTGATTCTTATTAGTACATATGAATCAACTACATACTTTTCAGTACTTTATAGTGTTCCACATGCATGGACTGCTATTGCTAACTCATCCACTAACCAGGTCATGAGTGAAGAGATGGTTTAAAACAATCCTGCAAAGTAAGTCTTTATCTTGGGTATGCAGACTTCAGCACATCATGGACCCCGCCATATAAGGAAGTTCCTAGAGATAAAATAGACAGATCATGAGATGCAAGGACTTCCCGGGCTGTCATGAGCTCAAATTGGTCTTGATGTTTGCTAGTCTCATGGGGGTTTCTCCTGACAAGCATGTCCTTACACTCCAAAGAGGAAATGAGAGAAAATATTCTCTTGATTAAATGACACATGACCAGGAACAGGTGGGTACTGAAAATCATGCCAGAAGGGACATAAATTTGTGTGCAAAGGAGATAATTTGAATGGTGTCCATAATCCTAATCCAAAACACAAGCCCTGCCTTCCTATAACTGGATCTGTGAGACCCCTTGAGAGTAACCTGTCTTTGATTAAAAAAAATTAGGACTCCAGAAGTTTCCTGTGAAATAGATATGCCCTATTGAAGAATGACACAGAAAGCACAAGGTCACAGAAGTGAAATGCCAGTCAAAACTGGGAAGGAAAGAATCATGGGAAATAAAAAACAGATATACCATGGAGTCAGGTTACAGGCAGGCAGTGGGTCTCTGGAAGGGATGGTATATCACAGAGAGGAGATCAGAGCATATCTGACATCAGGCATGGTGCTTAGAGACATGGAATGATGTGCTTATGAATCTAATCATTTATTCAAATTTCTGTGGTTTATCTCATGCATGTATCTCTTTAGTCCTATTCTTTCACAATCTCAGAAATGGGAATAAAGACCATGCTCACCACTTATGGCAGATGAAAAAATTGATGATCAGATGCCTACAGAATGGTTAGCATATGCCAGGTGGAACTATTTGGGAAAGATTAGGGGGTGTGGCCTTGTTTGAGGTGGCATGCCCCTGGGGGTGGGCTTTTATGTTTCAAAAGCCCACACCACTTCCAGTCAGCTCTCTTTATCTCCCACTTGTGCATACAATTTAATGGCTCAGCAACCATCTCTGCCTGTCTTCCTGCTTCCCACCATTATAACCTATGGAACTGTAATCTCCAATAAACTTTTCTTCTATTGTCTTGGTCATGTTGTCTCTTCACAGCAGCAAAATTGTGACTGACACTGACACAATATCTAACTACTGATATCCTAGCCCCACCCCTTCCAGCTGATTGGTTTGGATGAAAGGAGTTGAGGAATCCATCTAAACCTGGTAGGTTTTTGGAATGTGTAGCCAACATTGGGAATGAATAATTGTAATGTGTTTTCATCCCCTGTCCCACAGGATTTGACTATCTATCTCAGTGGAGCTGCTTCTGGGTGAGACTTGAAGGCAAATTTATTGGACCTTGAGAGTGGCATGATCAGCTGAAACTTCCATACACTCTTAATGACAGAGGAACACCCACTGGCATCTGCCTTCTTTAAGGGAGATGGCAAGAACTAGGAAACTTTTGTACTGGTTGCCATCACAATTCTTTGCATTGACAGCAGAAATACTCCACAATGCACACAAGTGAGCAGAAAGCCTTCTCAAGCCGTCAGCTCAGAAGCTGTCTCATCCCTAGAATCAGCTGTGGTATCACTGAGGCTTGAAGCTGAAATTCAAGAAAAGTCACTTACCCTCTGCAATCCTTTACTCTGTCTTCATCTTACCAGGACTCAGGGGTGAAACAAATTCCAACCACCTCTCCAGTTGAAGAAGCATGGGAGTAGACAGAATGGAAATTTCTTGCACTGTTGGCAAGTCTTTGAATAGACTGCAGAGCCCCTTGTTTTTTTTTATCCCTCCAGCTGCTAAAGCAGTGCTTACACCTCAGAATTGTGATCATGTTTGTTTCCAACCGCACTGTTTTCCAAGCATAAGAATTTGTCTCTTTTTAAACACGTGTTACTGTGTGTGGGCACACACTGCCATGTACAATGTGGAGGTCAGGCCCAGGTCCATCTCTGTCTTCCACCTTGTTTGCACATGGTTCCTTTGTTATTTGCTGGTGTACATAGCAGGCTAGCTTCTGAGGATCCTCCTGTCTTTACCTGTCACCTTCCCTTAGGAGCACTGGCATTACAGTGGCCAAACCTGACTTTTTATGTGACTTCTGAGAATGCAAATCTGGGTCCTCATGCTGGCACAGCAAACACTCTGGGTCCTCATGCTGGCACAGCAAACACTCTACATACTGAGTATCTTCCCATACCATAATTCATCTTTAATCATGTGGATCTTAAACATCATTTCAAGTGGAAATATTGAAAATAAAGCTTTCCAATCACCTTTAAAATAATATTAAAATAATATGAGCAAGGGGATCCAGATCATGATGGGGAAAACCACAGAGATAGAAGACCTCAGCTACTGGAAACTTGTTGACTGTGGGCTGACGGTTGGGGAAACTTCATGGGACCTATCTACACCCTCTGACTGTAGGTGACAGGTATATGACTTTATCTGTTTCTGTGGGGGAGCACTGGCAGTGGCACCAGGGCATGAACTGGCTTTTTGGAACCCATTCCTTATAGTGGGATACCTTGCTCAGCCTTGACACAGGGGAAGGGGCTTGGTCCTGCCTCAACTTGGTATGCCAGATTTTGTTGACTTCCCAAGGAAGGCCTTACCCCCTCTGAGGAGTGGATACAGAGTGGAAAGGGAGATGCAGGGGGTGGGAGAAGGGAAGGGAGGGAAACTGCTGTTGGTATGTAAATGAAAAATAAATTTCTTTAAGTAAACAAAAAAAAAAAAAACTCTAGCAGAACACAATCAATCCTTGCTAGCAAGCAGAGCCAAGTTATAGTCCAGTAAATCCTGAACTGTTCTTAGTTAGGACCCAAGCGCCAGCCACGGCTCTGTCAATTACAATCTGATACTTGCAAACTAGAAACTTGACAGGAGAGGGCTTATTTCTAGGCTAGCTTGTTATTATAAGAACTTGCTCACTTTTTTTAGGCATGCTAAGAATAGTGTATCTGGGTTCTTTTCAAATATAAATATCATTTTCAAATGTTCCTACTACCACCACTTTGTAGGGTGTGATTTCTTATGGAGTAAGGAATGCCTACACCTGTCACCATGCAGGCATTTGCTTGTACGCAGATGTCTGTGCCAAACTGTTCCTTTGCTGTTTTATGAGGCAATTTTTCCTTCCTGGATCCGTCAGGGTCTTGGTTCAAAGCAACAGAAATGACTGGGTGACTAACGCAAGAAAGTGTAACAGAGGTGGGGCATCACAAAGGAAAAATGGTAGGGTGAGGACAGGGGTGGCCATAAGGATGAAACTTGAGAAACATACAGAAATCAAGGGAGCGCTGAGGCTGACCACTATGACTCATGACTACATGGTCCAGTTTCTTTAGGATACTGTTGCTGTCACCATCACCCTGAGAAACATCCTGCCCAGTCTCTTGCCTCCTTTTCTCACCTTTTCTGGGGAGGCAAAGTCTCCGGGATGAGCATCTAATAGGCTGAACTAGCATTCTGCTCCAAGGATTGGGGTGAATGGTAGATGAAACAATCTGTGGAAGGTTCTGGCCTGAGAAAATGCCAGGCTTTCACAGTGTTATAAAATACTTGCCTCAAGATATGGAGGTACAGGAGCTGGAGAGATGGTTCAGTGTATTGCTCTTGCAGAGGACCTGAATTCAGTTCTGAGCACTGAATGGCTTAGAGCAGGAACCCCCTGCCTCTGAACTCTCTCCGCACACATATATACTCATGTGCACAAAGCCCCCACACACATAATTAAAAATAAAATATTTTTAATATTTGGAAGCAAAAATAGCAGGCATTTTCTAGAAAGCAATTTTTCAGCTACTGCTCATTTTGCTCCTGACAAAGGTTCAGAGGCATTACTTAATGACCTAGCATCTTCTACTCCCAAGCCCTTGTACATCCTCCAGGACAACCCAGTGATTTATGAAATCATAAGTTGTTTCTCCAACTTTAACAGGATCTAGGGTGAGGACACTGGGGACAAACGGATTGCCTCTCCTGAGGGTGACCACCGTTTATGTCAGGCCCTTTTCATTATTCAAGTTTAGCACATAAAAATAAACAATACTAGTTGCTGCTGACTTGCAACACATGATGGGAGAATATCATTAATGTAAAACACTACTTGATATATTCCAAATACTGTCTACCATACATTGAACTTTCAATGAAAACCATCACACTCTCCTGCATCTAATTTTCACCTTTTCTTATTTATAGTGCAATAAAACATAAATATTTGTGCAGTAATTTGCCTGGCTTCTCATCTAAACCTCTACCCACTTTTTTTCCTTAGAAATGTAAAGTTCCTTAAATTTACCTATCCAGACAAGAATTCCCATTATAATTTTTCCCAAGCATTTTTTTCTATGCATTTTGAGCACCGGTAATCTTTTTATAAAAAATTAACAAAGCATAGGTCTAGATCTTACAGTTAGAGTTGGGTGTGGTGACACGCACCTTTAAACTCACCACTCCAGAAACAGAAGCAGGTAGGTCTCTGTGAGTTGGAGGCCAGCCTGGTCTACATAAAAATTTCCAGACCTGCCAGAGCTACATAGTGAGATCCTGTCTCTAAAAGCAAAGAAAATATTGCAGGTAAGTCTTGGGGGACTTCTATTTTGACCTTCTGAAGGAAACGGAGGCATAGAAATGACACAGGAGACATGAACCTGCCAAATGCCTTCCCAGTCTGTGCCAATTTGGAGGGTTGAGGTTTCCCTGGTTGCCTTCTTTTTCTATCTGGAATTACTTTGAACCTTGTGGTCTTAATAGACATCTCACAAATTGCCTCCATAGATCATTCTGGCATATAGTGCCATGCCTTTTGTATTCTTACCACACAGCCCTCTCAGTTTACAAGCTGACATTGTCTTGTCTGTGTACTTGTATGCAACCAAGTCCTGTGCCACCCCCACCCCAGAGTAAGAACCTAGCTTCCTGCTGCCCCTAGTGCTTGTGATCCTGTGACTTTTGCTGACAAGTGGCTGCCTAGCCCCTCGCCAGCTCCGCCTAAGGCCCTCAGGTGACTTTCTCAAAGCTGGCTCCCTAGGATACTGAACTGCACTATTCGCACCCCCTGAGGGTCATCTCACCCCTCCTGGGATGGAAAAAAGATCACTCATTTGGCCGCTTGAGGCCAGCAACAGCACAGCTTGCTTGCTGCAGCAACTTTCCCTACCTGGCTGGCGAGGATAAGCCGATGGGGAGGAGGAGGCGTGGCGGGATGGGCGGGCCTTGGGGGGGATTTTTGTTCCCCCAGCCAATAGGCTCCGCGGCACGGAGAAGCCAGGCTGCCAAGCGGAGGCGCTCGCGCACTGTGAGGGGCAGAGGCAGAACGTCCTGGCTGCAGCGCATCCGCGGATGCTGTAGCTGGCAGCGCCAGTCCGAGGTACCCACGGGCCACCGTAGCTGGCACGGTAAGCCCTAGCAAAGTCGACTTTGTAGGATTTCTAGCCAGAGGAGGCACCCACCCCAAGTCCGAGCTGCTGGTGGGTCCTCGCGCGGTGCTGTTGGCGGGATGCGGGTGAGCCATGGTCCCGAAGCGCCACCTTCCCTTCCCAGGCTGCCGGGCCCTTCCCAGGCTGCCGGGCCCTGGCTTCAGTCCCGCTGTGGCACCAGAGCCCCGGAGCTCGCAAGCCTATGGCTTCTAAGGTTTCCATCCAACATCCAAACGTCATCCCGGGGAATAGCATGCTCCGAGAAGCTGAGAACCGCAGCGAGTGCCGGCGCTGGCACTGAATTCCAGCACCTACCTGCCTTATGGCTGCAGATCCCTCACGACCTGTTGCCTTGGGTCTGGGGTTCAGATCTGTCGCGCAATCTCCTATGTCCAGCTATCCTGGGGCGCAGGAAGAAACGTAGGAGAGTTTGCCTTGGCCAAGCTAGGAATAGAGACTAATGCTGATAGAGCGTCCCGGTTATTTAGTCACGACTTACTTGGCTGAATGCCAAACATTGTGCCCAGCTCTTGCTGCCTGAAGGGAGTTCATGAGGACTTACAGGGTCCAGAGGAAGGGTTGCAATGTGATGCCATGCAAGGGCCACGAGATGAGTGGATCGTGATGAGGTCAGGAAGGTTGAGAGGTCGCTATTCAGTGCAGACTTGCAAAACTTGGAATTTGCCAGACTGTGATGGGGGCGTCAGGGACCGCACGAATTTCAGGTAGATTTTCTTATGTGCACATGAAAGAAGCGAAGGAGCCTGAACCTCAGCTAGTCAAGCAGCAGATTACTAGGACTTGTGGGTGGGAAATAAACTGCCAGGTGGAAGGGCGTATTGAAATGTTCACAAGTTTGTCCTCAGTTGAAGGAGGCTGGGTAAGAATTCAGTCGGTCCTGGGGCTACTCTGCCGGCTCAGTGGGCAGTGGTGGAGGCTGGCATCCACAAGCCTGTAAGTTGCAAAAAGCTGGTTTTCCAGCAACTTGGTTACAAAGACTCTAGCCCCTTAGGACTGATTGGCCAGGAGCCCTGCACCCCTGGCTTCTGGGCATGGATTCAAGCAGGGAGATGCTGCCTTGTGATGCATGCTTCTGAACTTGCCTGTCATTGTAGATTGTCTTTGGAGGCTGCAACCCCTATCTTGTCATCAGGGATTGTGTTTCTGGGTTTACATAGAGCACCTGTGCTCTCTGTGTTACCTGGGCTTGCCTGTCTCCCAAGGTATAGAGGCTGTTGTTGGAAGCAAAGCCATATAGAGACTGGTATAAAACAACAAAGGCTCCCAGGAAATGAGACCAAAAGGCCACTTTATCTATTTGCTTTGAGAAATTATCAGTCTTGTGAACTAACTCCCTCCCACCATCCTGTTTCTCTCTCTCTCTCTCTCTCTCTCTCTCTCTCTCTCTCTCTCTCTCTCAGAGAGAGACGTCATTGTGCCTAGGTGTCACAGGCAAGGTCAGAGGTGCTATTCGAGTTACTTTTAATTGTTCATTTGTCACAACCTGGAATTACCTGGAAAGACAGTCTCAGCGAGGGATTGATTGTCTAGATCTGATTGGCTTGTGAGCATGTCTGTCAGGCATTGTCTGTATGAGTAAGATGGTTGATGGGAAGACTCCACCCATGGTGGGCAGTGCTCTTTTCTGGGATCCGGTCCTGGAGTGTGTAAGTGTGGAGGAATGAGCTGGACAGTAGGCATGCATTTATTCTTTCTCTGTTCCTGCCACCTTGATGAAACCCCAAAATGAGCTGTAGTCTGGACTTACGAACTAAAATAAATCCGTTCTTCTCTAAGTTTCCTTGTGATTTTATCACAACAGTGGGAGTGAACACGGAACAGATGCTAACATTTCTGTGTAGAAGGGTCCTTGGGTCCTTCCGTGAGTACACAGCTGGGGTAATAAGAGCAGGCAGACTGGATGAAGGAGAAAAGGGGCTTTTGACTAACCAGTCAATGGGTGCAGAATGCTCCCAAGAAGGGGCGCAGCTTTAGCAGCTATGAGCAGTCAACACCTTGGCTGCTGGGATAACAAGCATCTTGGTCTTGGAGGAGAGCCTGAGACTTATGGCACAGCATTGATACTCTGTGTCACTGGATGGATTTGGGGAAAGACAAGGATGGTTTGGACCAGCCCTATACATAGAGGAAGCGCTTGTTTCTCTGACTTTTGATTCTTCACTGCCTCTGAAAGTAAATGTTCAGCTTGAGTGTTTATTCCCATGAGACAATTCTACTAGTATTCCCAATGATGGTGGGCTCCTATTGAGTGCTTGTTCTATGTATCCTCTCCTAATTGTCCCACAATATGTAGAGTTATACAATTTTATTCTCAGTTTGAAGTCTTCTCAGTGTTTCTCAAGCCTAATAGAGTCCCTATTAATATAGCAATGACAGCATCTGTCACAGCATGTCACTTGTTAAACTTCAGGAAATGCTTTCATTGATGAGTCATTCATTGAGTCTACCACTTATTCATCCCTTCAGTCTGTTTAGAGAGCCTTTCACACAGTAGGGGCTGTCCCGGGCAGGGAGGTACAGCTCTTTCTGTTAAGGGAGAGTGATAGGCATTGCATACTTTAACCCTTCTAAAGAAATTATTGAAGGCTGGACCACTGTTTTATAGAGTCAGGATATGAGAGAGGGAAAAAACGGGCTCTTTGAGTGATTCTTTGTGCCTTGCAGTTCAATGTGGCCTCCTTGGAGAGATTATCCTATGGGAAGCAGATACCTGCCCTTTCCTCTCCCTTAGCAGCACTTTTTAATTTTATTCTCTTTCCTGTGTAGTCTTCCTCATTACACCACAGGGTCTATGGAATAGAAAGATGTTTTATCCCAGGCCCCACCAGTGGTAAACATATACATCTTCATTACATGTATGTGTGGATAGTTGGGGTATGGAGTTTGAACCCAGGGATTCATCCATGCTAGCCACACCCACCCCCTACCACATCACAACTATGCCCACATCACAGCACTTATTTCCTGGAGAATAAAATGAATGATGGGTTTGTTTCACAGAGTGTGGTGGCATGCACTTATTACCCAGGAGCTTGCTGGCTAGGTAACCTGTCAGAAGCTGTGAACTCCAGGCTCAATGAGGACCTGTCTCCAACAATAAGGTTGGGAGTTATAAAGAAAGACATCCTGCCTCTGTACATGTACAAGTGGGTGAGTATACAAACAGTTGATCATACACACACACACACACACACACACACACACACACACACACAGAGAGAGAGAGAGAGAGAGAGAGAGAGAGAGAGAGAGAGTTGAGTTGGCATAAGAAGTCAAGTGTTGTCCAGTGCCATTACTCATATATGTGAATACAGACACAGGAAGGAATCAGCATTTGTTACAGTCTGAGAAGAAGAAGTCATGGGGACTGACAGCAGAATAACTGAATAGCTCCCTTTGGAGAAATGGTGAGACCTTAGAAGTAGATAGAGGTGGCGGTTGTCTACAATATGAAGGTGCTAAATACCATTCAGCCATGCACTTAAAAGTGCTTAACTTTGAACTGTGGAAAATTCCCTTCAGTTTTTAAAAAGATTAGGTGGGTGGTATGGGCATTTTGACAGTGGGGAGACTGTGTGGGACTGGATTACCCAAATGCATCATGTATCCATGAAGAGCATGCATTTGATGTGCATATGGAGTCTAGCAGCTGAGTCTGGGCTGGCCTTAAAGGGCAGGTGTCAGCTCTTAGATGTCAACTATGAAGCAGATGAGTTCTAGTGTTGTGGGCTATTATTTAATGGGATGCCCATGGCTACCCTATAAAGAAGGTACTGTAGTCCTTTTTTAGACAAATAAAACAAAAACACACCTCCCACCTCAATCAATATGCCCAAGATTGGGCCGATAGCTCATGTGGATCTCAGGCTTCCAGCCCTCTGCCTTTCTCCTTCCAGGACGATGATGGAAGCCTCTCCCACTGGCACATCCTCCCTGTCAGCCTGAGTATTTCAGAAATGACAGGCACTGTTCTGGGCACATGTGGGTAGAAAAGGTAGACACAGCTCTAATCTCATTGAGCTTATCCAGAAAATGAGCAATGGCAGCTCCCAGGTTTGGAAGTAGGAGGGAGCTTCCTAGAGAACATGGTAGTGAGGCTGAGATTTGCAGTAGAAGCAGACGAAATGAACTTGAGAGAGAGAGAGAGAGAGAGAGAGAGAGAGAGAGAGAGAGAGAGAGAGAGAGAGTGATTTCCAGGATGACTAGCTGCCCCTGAATATACCTGTCTGAGAATTCACTTCAGTCCTCAGTTCTACTCAGGCTCATCAACTGTCAGTATTTTCTGTAATCCAGCAGACTTTGCAGACAAATGCCGAATGCAAACCAAATGGCCTGGTTTAACTTGAAGTGGGAACTTCATTCTGGGTGTAGTGGTGCATACCTTTAATCCCTGCACTCAAGCTAGACGGTAGATCTCTGTAAGTTCAAGGCCATCCTGATCTGGAAGCAAGTTCTGGAACAGCCAAGACAGTGAGACCTGGTGTCAGAAAAAAAAAAAGTGGGAAATTCACAAGGTACCCACAGCCTGGCCTTCAAATTGAGCCCCAGCTCTTGGGCAAGTGGCATGGGTTCTCTTTTGTTCAGTGTAGGGGATTGACCCCTGAGAGCCTTATGCAGGGTAGGCTGGTGCTCTACTGTGGATTCCATCTGTAGCTCCTTTTTGGTCATGGACATACTTTGTAGCAACCAGTTCCAGGAGGCCTGGATGAACTTTACTCATGAATGAGAGACAAATAATCTCCACTGCCTGGGGTAGGATATGAATGAGAAGAGGCAGTAAGTGTTGGGTATGTTATATATGCTCAGAAAAAATGTCACTTCCCTTGGCAAGGAAGGGTTGAAAGTGCACTGGGTCCCCTACTCTTTATGGTGTTAAACTAGATAGCAGCACACCCTCTAAAGCTTGTGGCATGGATAATTTGAGACATAGCACAACAAACTATGTTTAGAAAGCTCTTTGGAGGCATCAGATGAAAGCAAGCTTGGGAAACACTGGTATAAACCAAATCCTTTTTGATTTGCTAAGTAGGAAGGAGTTAAACATCTAGCGATCGGATTTTGCCTTTTAGAAATTATTAGCCAATGAGGGGGCTTGCTGGTGATGTAATGCCTGGGGCCAGCACTCCATTGGTTAAGTGTATTGTTTCTCTGGTTTCACTGAGAGGCAGAGGTGGAACATAGGGGTTAATCATATCATTCTCTCTCTCTCTCTCTCTCTCTCTCTCTCTCTCTCTCTCTCTGTGTGTGTGTGTGTGTGTGTGTGTGTGTGTGTGTCCCTCCCTCTCTCCCTCCCTCCCTCTCTCCTTCCCTCCATCCCTCCCTCCCTCATATTCCTCCTCTCCTAAGTGGGGAGATACAGCAGAACTCATCACACTGTTGGCGTTTGCTTTCCAATAAAAGCCAAACTCGCCTCCTGCCTCCCTCCCAAGCAGAGCACATGTTCCAGTAGTACTACAGAGGAGGACCTAGGAGGGGGAGGAAGGGGAGGAGGGAAAGAGGAGGAGCTGTTCTTAGAGGAACGAGAGCCCCTTTGCAGGGCTATAGCCTCTCCTTGCAACCTGGGATGGGCACAGCTTCACACACCCCCAAGAATTGTTTAACAGCCATCTGCTTCTGAGCATTGTTCAGCCTGGCGGGATCCTCAGAACGAGGAGGTGAGCCCAAGGATCTGGAAAAGGGAGTGGGCCTGGGAGAGAAGGGAGGCCATCTGGGTAGAAGGTAAAAAAAACAGCCCTGGGCTAGGGGTCAGAACAAGCTCTGGCCCATGGCTGCCACTGGCCCACAGTGGGTCTATTAGCTGAAGTGCACGTGGTTCTGGCAGACACCGGCAAGGCACTGCACTGAGGAGGAGCTGGGGTCAGTCTTGTTCTTGTTGCAGCTTTCTGTCAAAGCTTCCTAAAGATATAAAGGCTTTGCTTTGGGACTCAAGCCAGGATGGGAACTGGTGTGCCAAGGAGCCAGCTTTAAAGCAGCCCTTTCCTTGTATTGTCTGTGCCCCCTCCTTAGTGCTCTGCCCCAGCAGAGTATGGAGTAAGGTTTCTCCAGAAATTTACTGAATGTTCTCACAGATTTGTATCTTATTTGCCAAGAACCTTCAGGTCCCTGACCCCTGAGCTACAGATGAGATATGCTTGAGTGAATGTGATGCACCTGCTGGCTGTTCAGGCTAAGCTGTAAGGGAAGAGGGAATGCCTCAATTCCTTTTATCTCACGGATAGCACAGTTGTGGTGGTTTTCTTTGGTACAGGTTGCTAGATTGTTGCCACAGCCTGAAATCGCTCCCTGCCTGTCCTGAAAGATCTCGTGTGTGTGTGTGTGTGTGTGTGTGTGTGTGTGTGTGTGTGTGTGTGTGTGTGTGTGCCACTGGTGCTGAAAAATTTCACTGCTTCAGTGGGTAAACTGAAAAGAGCAGAAATGGGTATACATGTGGGGAGCAGCTGGGAACTGCTGCAGGATGAAAACTCTGCCTTCTTATCAGCACCTAAGACATTCTCACATTCCATATTCACACTAAAACATGATCTCTCTGGAGTAAGGTTTCTTCAGAAATTTACTGAATGTCCTCACAGATTTCTATCTTGTTTGCCAAGAACCTTCAGGCATGCAGAAGTAAAAAAGTTCAGCTACTTTTCAGAATTTGCTCATATAAGAGAGGTGTTCCACATTTCTTTTGGGAGAGTGGAACCTACAAAGGGCTCTCGCTGTGTTTCATGCAGCCCCCAGGTGTCTGCTACCCTGTGCTCCAGGCCAGGCCTTGTTGATGAAGAACTTTGCATGTCCTTGAGCCAAGTGTCCAGTTTTTTCTGAACCTCGGTCCTTTTGAGTCCATCACAGATGTGGGAGGGGCAGGAGGCTTTCTAGCTCTAGGTGCTTGTGCTTTCAAGAGGAATGAACTTCAGAATGAGGGGGTGAGCCAAGGTTAGTGGTAGAGCATCTTTGAACAAAGGGCATAGTAACAGCAGAGTCACAGTAGTTAATCGCTGTATTTTTTCCCATTACTCAGAGTGGGAGAATGAACTTCAGTGCATAGGTGTGGAAAGTTGAGGCTGTCAGCACTGATGCCCAAGACCATCAGTGAACAATAAGGTTGATCTCTAAAGCCATCCAGTAGACACCCTGGGGTGGCAGCAGGTTGCAGGAGGAGAGGGCTGGAGGTGGCAGCCTGTCTGCCTTTGCTTATTCTTTGTTCTTCATTCTAGAAACCATGCCTCAACTTTGATATGGGTCAGCCCCGCCTGATAATTGTGGGTTCTCTGATTTACTGCCTGAGATAGCTGCAGAAGATTACAGGACTCTGGATCTGAAGGAAACCTCATGTTCTGCAGATCAGGTCCATAAGCCTATAGCTGAGAAAATGCAGTTCAGAGAAATTAGATGCCACTTGGTTAGTCCATAGATTGTAAGAAATATTGTAAGAAATAGAGACCATGTCTTTTTTGTCTTAGACACTTCAAGTTGTATCATTTTTTTTAGGTGAAGTTTTTCTTTCAGTTGAGGAATTTGAGATGGACTGAATGTAATCGTTCTTGCTTCCAGGCTCCTTTGTGGTATAGCAGATATCTGTGAGGTCACTAGGCATTGTGAGCAGTGAGCAACCATAATGAGAGGCCAGGTCCTTGTCCTGAAATTGGTTCAGAAACAAGCCATGTTTCATGTGGATTCTGCCTCCAAGGTGAGCAAGTTTCCCTCGTGGGTAGAGACAGACACTTTACTTGAAGGTATGGCTGGTATATATTACATGCAACTGTACCAGCTCTTGTCACATGTGTTTTCTGATCTTTGTCTTTCCAACTAAGCCACTTGTTTTCAGAGAGTATGGTTTCCAAATGTTGAACAGAAATAGCTGCTGGCACTGCTGAGGAGGAAAGTGTCAATACCCTGTATGACCAGAGGTGTATAGGCAGACCTAAAACACATCAAGTAAACATAAAAAGTACAGACAATTGACTCTTTGCCCAGGCACTGTGTTGTTACAAAAGCATCTTCCTGATAGCAGCTTCAGATATGCAGAAGGTTATCACAGGAAAGAAACATTGTCACTTTTCTACAGGACTGGGGATAGCTCACAGGAGTAGGGAGAGGTAGAGAGGAGAGTCAGCAGATAGAGAGGCAGGACGCTGACAGAGATGTCCAGCAGGAGAGCATCCACC